CCACTTTCATCTAGATAAGTTTTGGTTGTGAGTAGACGATATCGTGATGGTTTTCCTTCACTGATTAACTGACTCTTCTGGATTAAATCACTGACAGTCCAAGATGTCTTTTGTGATCTGCTAAATCCAATAAAGAGAGAAATTTTATTGAGAATTACTGTGTTGATACTGTTCCTGAATTGTTGTTTCAATAGTCACATATGCAAAGTGTATAGTGGTATCATAATATTATTATTACAATAACATTCAGTATTTTGCTTGAAAATTTAAGCTTACACCAGCACTGAACTTGATTATTTGGAAAGAGTAAGCTGTCTTGCACTTAAACTGTTGTCTGTCACCACTTGACTGTCCAAAAGGCCTTGTTGTTGGGTCAGATGAGATAAATATACATATAAGTTATGACTCTATGATAAATTTCCTAAACAGGGAAACTTCAACAAATTTATTTTCATTGTTTACTTACCTGAGAGCCATAATGATGATGTGCTTTAGTTTGACACAAATATCTTTGGAGATTTAGACACAGCTGAATGACCTTTTAACAGAATATAGAATGTACATTAAGCTTCATATATAAAAAAAAACTGTAAGGTATTCAAATTTTCAGTGTCTTCTTAGTGCAGTGTCTTCTTTGCAATTATTTGAGTTGCTTCATCCTTATTTAACTTGAGCATAATTAGCATGGAAGTAATAATACTTCTTGCTAATTAAGTATGGTTTTAAATAATTTTCTGACCTCAATAAATAGCTCTGCATCACTCATCATGCTGCTTAGCAAAGTAGATTATCACTGGAAATGTAAATGTAAAGAGTTGTAGTTATTTTTAAACATACCTGGTTTATAGGAATTTCCCTCTGTCAGCAGTGAAAAAGACAAGTGATCCTAAAATTATTCTCTTAGTCTAAAATAAGGAATTTAAAAATGTCTTATGTAGAGAGCTAAGAAATTCTGAACTGACTAAAAGATAAGCTCAGAAAGAACTGACATATTGGTGGCAAACGTGTCGTCAGCTGGAAGTGGCAAAAAATCAGCACTCCAGCCAATGACATTTGCTGTGTAAGCTGTAGCTAGGCATAAACCCTTATGCAAGGTTATACATGCATATATTTCTGCTTGTATAAGGACTCCTGGGTTCCTCTACACACAAAACATCACATTAAGAGAATCCATTTCTGGACAAAAAAGAAAGAAAAGACAGAGAGAAAAACAAAAGCTTTCTTGGTCCTTTATCTTGATGTGAAAGTTATAATCAAATAGATTCACTTCAGATGAGGTTACATAATCTGCTTCTTTACTCTATTCATGTTCCTCTGTGGTTTCCACAGAATATTGCAACATGGAAAACACTAACTGTATACTTGTACAGGAGATGCTAACAACAACGACAACAACAATAATAATAATCACATTATCTAAGCTGCTTATCTTTCTGGGTTGTGGGCGGTGCTTGAGCATTTCCCAAGGGTCAATGGGCGGAAGGCAGGAACCAACTCCACACAGAAAGGAGCCTGGTCAAAGCCAGCCCCTTCTTGCTGTGAAGAAATGGCACTACCCACCGCACCGCCATGCAGCCATAATAATAATAATTATAAAAATAATAATAAAATAATGACACCCAAGGCTGATGTACAAGCCAAAAAAAGGCATTTTACATGATAACCTTTGCCAAGAAGGTAACAGTATATCACCTGGAGTGAAATGCTGGGTGAAAGAGAAAAGAGAAAGGCTTTCAGCTGAGTTTTGAAGAAGGAAAGTGAAAGAGTTGATGAGGTGATGGTCAAAGGGACCATGATTTGAGGGCTATAACACTGATGGATCTGCACTAAATGATTCTATTAAGCAAGCTATTAGTAGGATTAAATGATTGTTCCAGATCAAGTGTAAATAGGCTATTTCACATCTACCAAAGATTCTCTACAACCCCAAACAGCATATAGTATAAAGAAAGTGAGTTAGTTGCAAATGGAAGCAGACAAGATTATTAGTTATTCTTTGTGGCAAATTGAACCTTTCCATTATCATGCTTGTTACGATCTGTCTAGGGTAACCCACAACATAAAAATGTCTCCCCCAACTTCCACCACCAAATTGCTATACCAATCACACTCAAACATGAATTACCAGTCTCATGAGCTTTATTGTAGACTGTGGAAGCTAAAGCTCCAGCAGTTGTGCTCATGACAGTTCTCTTGACAGACGGAGCAACACGTTGCATTTCTGTCCCACCATGAAGCATTTTCAATGCTGACTTTGTCTTTGACTTTTGGTGACTGTAACAGAACAGTTTTCATTTTTCTGATTGTTCTCCTGGTGGCTTTGAGGGCTTCCTGAATCTGAGCCAGTTCTTCATGTTTGAGCTTAACCCTTGTGTGGTGTTGGGGTCTGTGGGACCCATTTTTTTTAATGTTTACCAAAAGAAAAGATGATGTGATTTATTATTAATTCAAACTCAGATTTCTTGGCCTTTGCTCATTTTCTGTGAAGAACATATAAAATAACCAATTTTCAGTGTCGTCTACACATTTATATTACACATGTGGTGATGGGTGAACCTGCAGGAATAAAAGTGTGGAGGTGCTGTGTCCTTCACTCTGTTCTCCTCCTACATGGCCTGCTGTTAGTGTGTCTGTGTGTGTATGTGTTTGTATATGTGTGTGAGTGTGTGTGTGTGTGTGTGTGTGTGTGTGTGTGTGTTATTGTGATATTTTAAACATCTGGTATTTTTTTACATAAATTTTATATAAATTGAAAGAAATTCCTTAAACTCACCTCCATTACTTTTCAACCTTCTTGATAAGTGTCCTCATATTCTGTACTCCACTGTTCAGCTTGACAATTGTCAAATAAGAAATAAACAGGTTCATTTCCATTTCTTATCCTGCAAGGGATCCTTGCTTTCTTGATGGTGTTAATGACATTTCTTGGGGGTCCTTTATTGGACCACATAACAAAAAACACAATGTTCTTTCTTCTCTATATAGGATGCTTATAATAATAATAATAATTATTATTATTATTATTATTATTATTATTATTATTAATAATAATAATAATAATAATAATAATAATAGTAGTAGTAGTAGTAGTAGTAGTCATTTATAAAGTGCCTTTCTCATACTGGAGGTTATCCTCCTCAAAAAAGTCAACAGAAACATCAACTGGAGTGAGATTGAGACTAAAAGACAGAAGAGAAGGGTTCCAGCTGAGCTTTAAAGGAGGAAAGTGAAAGCAGAATTGATGAGATGGTAGTAAAAGGGATCATCGTTTGAGGGCTATAACACTGATGGATCTGCACAGAATGATTCTAATAAACAAGCTATTAGTGGGAATAAAATCTTGTTCCAGATCAAGTGTAAATAGCTTATTTAAACCTTTACCAAAGATTCTTTACAACTAAAGACATCTTAAGGTATCAAAGAAAGTGAGTTCCTTTCAAACGGAAGTGGAAAAGATTATGCTTTATTCTCTGTGGCAAACACTTCTATCATCATAATTTAATTCTTAATCTATTTTCCAGCTTTAATAAACAGGTATGTGAATGAAAATGGCAACCTGTGCTTATGTACATGCTGAATTCATTAGTCAAAGTAACTATATACAGAAGTTTGCACCTTGAAAAAAATCACACTTTTGAAAACAAACCCAACCTGAGATTAATATTGTAAGTGAAAAATGTTTACTCAATATTTGTTGGACCCGACATGGTCAGGTAGCAGACCTCTAACAATGTTCATAAGGACACGCATAAAAATATTAAGAGAGAATTGCTTAGTTTTATCACAATCTTTTATATTTTAATTACTGTTTCTTATCCTATTTTAGGCAAGAAGAGTTTTACAGAATGACTATTTAGCATTTAGAATGCATAAATAACAAGATAAAAGGTTTCCCTGTTAGCAGGACTTGTAAAGATGAGAAGTGTAGAAGAGATGGTTGGTGTGGAGAGGACTTTAATAACGACATTATTGAGGAAACATCAGATTTTCTTTTTCATTTCCTGTTACAAGTCTTATCTAATTTAAAAAGTTGCAACAGCACACTTAACAGGATAATTTGTAAAAAAATGAACTGGATCTTTACATGCCCAATGTATGGTCCTGGGTGAAGACCCAAAATGTAAAAACAAGTTAGAAACGTATATTAATTTTTGATTTAGTAAATATGGAAATGCAACAGGACAAAACATGTTAACAAACATGTTTATTTTACAAACATCATCACTCAGTTTTTTCTGTAAAAATATTCAATTGCAGCACAAAGAGTATAGTAACTTCAACACCTTAGTTCCATTCTCTTTTTGATCAGTAATTCATACTTCTGCATTCTTGTGCAGAGCATATGCTCACAGGTTTAGGATAAATGTCTCCAATAATAGCTGTTACTCAAATATAAACTATATTTTATTTCCCATTTTATTTAATGAAAGTAAAAATTAGAACTGTCTACTTAACCCAAACCTCAGAGAGACCATTACACATGTTAACCCAGACAACTATGTATTCGTTATGTAAAAATAACAAAAAAATAACAAGAATAGTGATTAGAAAATCTCAGTGTACTAATGTCCACCAGCTTCAATTAGACACATTATGTATGTCCAAAAGCTTATAGACACCTGCTCATCACAGTGTTTCTTCTTCATGTGTATTAATAGGGAGTTTGTCCCCCTTTTCTGCACTAACTCTACTCTTCTGGAAAGGCTTTACACTCTATGTTGGAACATTGCTGTGAGGATTTGATTGCATTCAGCCACAAGAGCATAAGTTAGGCCAGGTACTGATGCTGGGGGGCTTTGTACCCCTCTAACCAACCCTTGGATTTAAGCATGGTGATCTTAGGCTCATGTGCAGCTGAACCAGAGGGTCCCATTCTGTTGATCAGTGCTTTTCTACAGAGATTATACAAGCTGTGTGAGTGCAATGGAACATCTGTGTCAGCCATGAGTGACCTTAAAATAGCTGAATTCACTAATTACAAGGGCTGTCTGGATACTTTAACAATTTTGCATTCAATTTCATTTTCCTAATTTGCAAATGTGCTGTGGATAATGTATAAGTCAGATACTGAGCAATTCCTTCCTTATCACTGTAACAAACTATGATCCATTTCTGTCATTTTTTACTAGTAAGACCTCTAGTAAAACCTGCTCGCAAATATCTCAGTACAGCAACGGTTCTTGTCTCTGCTTCAGGATGAATTTTCCTCAACTCCTTCAGTTTCTGAACCCAGTCACGATGTCCAGTTTCCTCAGCTCGGGGGATCAAGAAGTCCAGTGACTCAACCATGAAGGCAGAGTCTGGTTTTAATGCAATTTCAGACAGTTTGATTATGGTGCTGCAGGCCTCTTCCACCAGTTGGGTCTTTTCTTTTGCAATCTCACTCAGTTTTTCTTCCAGTTTCCTCTCTATGCTTGTCTTTTCTTCTTTCTCTTGCTTGTTGCTTTCAAGCTCCCTTTTGACATTCTCAAATTCCTCTCTGTCTAGACTGATACCTGCTTTTGACTCATCAGTGTTCTCATATTGTTTTATCAGGTCTGTATACGTCATTTTGATCTCATCACTCTTTATAACATATTTCTTGTTCTCTCTGATGTGTTTACTGTGGTGACACTTCCCTGAACACACAGTGCAGCGCTCATCTTTCATGACATGACACCATGAGGCATCGATGGCACACCAGCAGTTTTTCTCATGACAGTTCTCCTGACAGACGGAGCAACAGGTTGCCTTTCTGTCCCACCATGAAGCGTTTCCAATGCTGACTTTCTTCTTGTGACTCCTGGTGACTGTAAAAGAAAAGTTTTCATTTCTCTGAATCTTCTCCTGGTTTTGTTTGAGGGCTTCCTGAATCTGAGTCAGTTCTTCCTGTTTGCGCTCCTTTAACTCAATGCGTTCCTGCAGATTAGAAACACAGGCTTTGAGCTGAATTTGCTCTGTCAGAACGCTCTCAGTCATCTCTAAGCTTTTTCTGTTCTGGTCTTCCAGAGATGTGAAAAAATTCCTTAAACTGTCCTCCGTTAACTTCCAAGCTTTTTGGTAAACTTCCTCATGTTCTGTTTTCCACTGTTCAGCTTGACAATTGTCAAACAAGAAATAAACTGGTTCATTTCCATTTTTTTTCCTGCAAGGGATCTTTGTTTTCGTGATGGCATTAATGACATTTTTTGGAGGTCCTCCAGTGGAGTGTGTAATAAAAAACACAATGTTCTCCTCTATGTCTTTACCAAACAGAGACAGAATTGCATCAAAAATGTAATGCTGTCTGTCAGAGAGTCGATTCTGAGTTGATTTCACTACCAGACACACTGCATCTAGTTCTTTCACTCCAGTGTCGTGTTTAAACAGTTTAAACAAGTTTTCAGCCACCTGCTCATCATATTCTGCTCCTCTGGTGTCTCCATAACCTGGAGTGTCAATTATGGTAACAGAGATTTGGTTCTCCTGGACAAAAACCTCATAGACAGTGACTTCAGTTGTTTGACTTTCTGTCTGATCTGCTGTTTCAGGTTCTTCAGTTTGATTCACTCCTCCTTCTTCTGTGATCCCAAACCAAACATCATCATCGATCTTCACTCCTAGTGTGTAATTCACTATGGCGTTGATCAGAGTGGTTTTGCCTGTTCCAGTTTCTCCCACCACCAGTATGATTTTGTTTTGAGTGTTGATGTATCGCTGACCAAATGTCCATTTTCTGATCTTACCACTTTCATCTAGATCACTTTTCGTTGTGATCAGTTGATACCGTGCCGGTTTTCCTTCACTGATTAACCGACTCTTCTGGATTAAATCACTGACAGTCCAAGATGCCTCTTGTGATCTGCTGAACCCAATAAATACATAAATATTACTTTGAAAATTTGTGTTGACATTGTTCATGAATTATTATTTCAGGTATGAAATTTTAAGCATCCACCAGTAGAGAGTAAGTTCCCCACTTAACTAAACTTTCCATGAGATAAATATGTAAATTTGTTTGCATTGTGCTCTTTTGCATGTGCACTTTGTATGTGTTCCAGGTAACTCATGTTGTAAACAGGTAAGGTACGGTGGAGAGCAGTGCAGGAGCTTCTTTTTCCTCACATCACTTTTATATTAGGTTTAACCGTGTGAACAGATAGACTCCAATTTTTAAATCTCAATAATAATTATTTTAATTCATTCAGTCACCTGTGAGCCATGATGATGACGTGTTGCAGTTTGATGCAAATGTTTCCCAAGACTCTGTCACAGCTGAATGATCTGTTAACAGAATTTAAAGTGTGCATTAGGATGAGTTTTCCGGGAAAAGCTAAATATTCTGAACATGTTTTCTGAATAAAACTAAATCATTAAAAATTAAAGCAAAGCACAACCTGTGTATTCAGACAAGGACTCACCACAATCAATTTGCAGTCTTTTAATAACAATAAAACTAACAATAACAATATATCATGATTTTAATATATTATTTTGCCAAGAGTATCATCAACTGAGTATTTCTTCCGTAAGGATGGTTTTACTTAAGTAACTTTTAATGCGCAGTACTGCTGCTATATGGTGGTCTTGATTACTCAGCATATTTCTACTCTAATCTACATTATTACATTTTTTCATCCAACAAAATTAACTGGCAAATTATCAATAGAAATGCAAATGAGTTTAACATACCTGTGTTACAGGAATGCTCCTCTGTCAGGAATAAAGCGGTGATATTACAATTATTCTGTTAGTCTTAAATATAAGGAAATTAAAGAAATTTAACTAAAAATCCAGAATTCCTTACACAGACGAATTTACTGGCCAACTGACTAGAAGATCAACTAGTTGCGTGATATGTATTATGGGGGAGGTGGCCACATCAGCACTCCAGCCAATAAAATCTTCTGTGTAAGCTGTAGCTAGGCAAAAAGCCATATGCAAGGTTATGTATAAGCATTTTTGCATAATTATGTTCTGTACATACAGAAAAACCCTTGAATTCAGTTGAAAGGTTTAAGGTAAAAACTATATTAAACTACCTTAATTGCTAAAATAATACGCAAACATACTTAAAATGTGTCTGTAATGGGACGGCCACCACAAGCTGGTTTTGAACCTCAGACTTAGTTGAAAGGTAAAAGCTTATCAGGCGAGCCACCAGCCAGATGCTGCCTTGGGCCCAGATGCAGAATGAAGAGCTGACTCGAGAAATAAACTCAAAAGAAACCCAAAAGAAACGTTTTAGTTTGTTTTTCCCTCTTTTTAATTTATACTGTGGGTCAGAAGGCTCAAGACTTGTTTGGAAACCAAGGATACACCAGAGGTTAAATTCGAGAAGAGGTTTATTTATTTATTTACTTACTTACGTACTTAGTACTTACTTACTTACAAATTGCCAGCTACAGAGACACACCAGCTCACAGCCTGGCAGACCCAAAACTGAGCACCCGCTGCATGGAGAGCTGTCCTTTAGTAGAGCTCATACAAGTGACGCGTTTTCCAGTGATTGCCTTGGAGGCTGCTCTCTGATTCCCTCTGGTGGCAGGGACAGGTCTTGCAGTGTGTTCTGCCTCTGGTTGACTGGCTGCTCTCTGTGTCCCTCTAGCGGCAACAAGACATCATGCTGGCCACCCCCTGACAGTGTCTGCATGTGCAGCTCCACTATGTAGCATCTTGGCTGACACAAAAGTCAAGATGCAGGATTGTGAGATTCTTTTTTAGCTTTACAAATTTCTCTCTTCTGTGTAGCAGATCTGGCTTTCTTCATTCATAAACTGTGCAGACACTCTGGACAAGTTGACCTTTTTGATCATGGTGCTATAAAGAACCCATCTTCTCTCTGGAGCTGTCACTGGTGCCCTTCTGTCTGGACAACTTTAAGATCTGAACTAAACTCAGTTTTTGACTCCAGTGTCCACTAAGATCTCTCTCTTCCCTTCTCCTTTTCTCCTGCTGTGAGCACATTATAACCCAGCGCACCTCCTCCTCACTCACATCCTCTACAGCAGCGGTCTTTAATTAAAATTCAATAAGGTCCAGTCAAAGAAAATGTCCTCAAGCAAACGTCTGGAACATCATAATGTCTAACTTGCATCATGATTCAGTGCCATATACTGTTTACTGAAGTAGCCTAGTTGGTATATCAACATCTTATACAGTCAACAACTGAATGATGTTCAAGTAGAATTCGGTGATATTTCAACAACACATTGTCAGTTTTTTTCTTTTTAGAGCACGACATGCAAAATAATCCAGCTCACTTTCTTCTCTGACTGCTGTTTCCCGCCTCATCCGTCCCCTGTGTGTGTGTCATTCACTCGAGTCTCAGCGCTCATCGTAATGCACAGATCTGATTGGCTGAGTAGCATCACGTGTGATTTTTCCAACCCATGCGATTGGTCTGTGAGTTTCCCGGGCCGCTACAGGTACCGTAAAGGCTAGAAAAGTTACGTTGCTTAAAACAGGACCACCCCGTCGAAAGTGAATAATCCTCTATAGTTTATCGGTTATAAGCCTAGGTCCGCACAGGACAGTGTCTGGGTCTGGACTCGGTTCGCCTATTAGTGACCTCTGATCTACAGTATGGCAGGGCAATAGATATTGTGAAAAGGTGGGGCAGCACAGGGTCACTTCAGCTCTCACTGCCTCACCAATGTTTTGTTCTAATGACACTAATGATGCTAAGAGGCCGACATGATGCTGCAGGCTGTCTGACATCAGTATGTTCAGAAACACCTTGACCGGATTTACAATTGGTCACTTCTTGTGACTCGTATCTGGATTGTATCCTGATAAGATTGACACCTGAATTTACACATGGAAGTCAAATGCGTCTCTGTTTAGTCGTAATGAAATCCGATTGGGACGGATTGTGCAAATTCGCTTGTTATGAGGCAACAAACTACCAATTGTTTATCTGTTCAGCCTCTTCATCTGCAGTTTGTTTTGCACAGTAGTGTCTGTACATGTTGCTATTGACCAGTTTGTTTCACACGGTCGCCAACCACATGTCCATCATGTGCCCAGTTACCAGTACTGTATGGGGAGGATCAGCATTTCAGACTCTGAACAGATTAGACACCTCAGTTTTGAACTTGAAATGGGGAGAAAAACACATCATTCTCTGTTCATTTGGTTTTGGACACTCTGTTATTATTATTGATTTTCCTTTTTAACAGACCAGAAATAGTAAATAAAATTAAAGCTCCAGCTGTCAACATGCTGTCAAATGTTTAAAACGTTGTTGTAATAGTAAGATATGCCTTGGAATAAGTATTTACCAGTATACCAATATATAAACTAATACAATTTAACAGAGGTGTGGACTCGAGTCACAAATTTGATGACTTGAGACTCGACAAAATCGAGAAAGACTAGCTCCCGCTTAGTGCTTAAACTCCAGTCTTACTGGGGAAATGTACCAGGCGAACTGACCATTTTCCTCATGGTAGTTAAACAAAAGAAACAGCTCTCTCTATTTCACAGATTTTAACAGATTCTGCAGGTAAACAAGCGCAACATTCACATAAAGCTGAAGATCAAAAAGAAGAACATTGTATCCTGATAACATTGAACCCCAACAACTGGTTTCTCTACTTGGTATGGGCAGAAATAGCACAAAACTGTGCTACTGGAATTAACCCATGCCAGCGCGTTTTAGGATTTCAACCACCAGTGGCTCCTTGGACTTCAGATTTGCAGATGGAAGTAAGAAGTTGAACCCGAAGTACATTTGGTCTGTTTAAGGTCCTTACGAAAATTAACGATGTAACTTACAAACTTGACTTGTGTTTCACAGTCTACACTGTTCTTTCGTTGATGGACTCCAGAAGACGGGGAGGCCAGTACAGTACCTGGTTGACTGGGAGGGATATGGCCCTGAGGAACAGTGCCGGGTGCCTGCTTGTGATATCCTGGACCCTGGGTTGATTGCAGACTTTCACAATCAACACCTGGATAATGGGCACTCGAGGTACTGTCACGCGTCAGAACTTCCTGGGAGACCACAAGAGCTCTGTAATCACCCTTTATTGTATCTGTTTGTGGCCATTTTGTGTGTTTTTCCATTGTTGTATTATGTGCAGGCACACGATTGGCCATTCGGGGGCACCTGGCAGTATAAGAGGTCGCTGAGCCACCATCTTGGGAGATGTTCACAGCTCTTTCCTCTTTGACATGACCTGGAAGAACACCTGTTCAGACCAACCCGGCACTCTCCACACCACTCTTCGCTTCACTTTATGTGTAAAGTTTGAAAGTTTGTAAAAGCTTTGTTAGATTTTGTGAAACTCCTGTGAACATTGGAAAAGTAGGGGACTAGCTGAGGTGGAGGCGGGGCTTGTGCGGCTCTTGACTATAACCATAAATTTTACAAAGCTCCTTGATTACATTAGATTCAAAGTTTTGACCTGAATGCAATTGAGCTAGACAACCATAATGAACAAACCAATGCTTTAGAAGAGCTTCATGAGCTGTTTGGTTTTTAGTTGGTACAGCGACGGTGAATCTGGTAAACATATCTGTGAGAACTAGCACCTTCTCTTAACTTCCTGAGGATGTCCTTCTTCCAATAGAGCACTAACTTTGCTACAAGTCATGGAGGCACGAATCCATGGGAGTACATCTTTTGCAAGTGCACACCATTTGCACAGCTTAATCCAGCTCTGGATGCCTTTAGCCATAGTCAACTCCGCCTCATCGTCTTACACGTACTTCTCCAAAATGCCCACCATACTCATGCTGACTCTCACAGACATTGCGTTGCAGAGATTCTGGCACAACAAGCTGCCAGACATCATCTCCATCTCATGGATGACATATTCAGCGGAATAACACCCCTTGACATAGCTTAAAGTGATCAAACTGTCTATAGAACTTCTGTTTTTAATCCATAGCACATTGTTCAGCAGGGCTAGGTTTTCTCTCACTTAGCACAGCACTGTAAATGGATTAGATTGCAGGATCATGTCTTTGCTGTTCCTCAGTCTCACTCCAACTATATCCACAGTCTCCCTTCCTGATGTAGACCTTGACAGCAGCCTGTACAGCAGACTTATCTCCTTTTTCGTCTGCGGCCTGCCACAAGCACTCACACATTGCTTTGGCTTTTTTCAGTATGAAATCTTGTCTGCATCGCTGATCTCAGGTTCTTCTGGGGAAAGAATTCTTGACAGGTCATCAGCATTGCTGATGGTAACAGACATCAAAATTGTACTCTACCAATTGGGCCATGTTCAACTGTTCCTAGGTTAGCCGTCCCCAAATACAGATGGAATAAAACATTCGATTAAGAGTCTGGCGATTGTCGTTGTTTTGCTGGGTTGGAATGTGGACAGGTGTATGAGTCAAGACTGTTATGTAACAGTTTAGGATTTTGGAATTGGCCTGTTTTACCACCCGCTTTTGCTAATGTGGTATTTGCATTTAAAGGAGAAGACAACACTATTTGAGGTTCACAGTATTTCAGTTCCACGTACCAACCTGTCCTTATTCGACTAATATAAATACAATTTTATATTCTATGGCACTTTAACAAAATTATTCTTCAAATGGATACTATGTTTACCATTAAGTTAAAATAAATAAATAAATAAATTGCGCCCCTGGCTTGCAGCATTCAAGTTCTTGCCCATGTAGCCAGAATCATCAGGTGTGACAAGGAAGAGTTTTCGATCAACCGATCTTAGAAAATATCAGAGACATTTTAGTGATACACTTGTGAAATACGTTACTGTTTAGTGGACAAAAGATTTCGATTCTACTTTTGATAACCTTAATTATTAGTCTCCCTTCAGTCAAAACGTTTTG